AAAAAGCTCTTTTATGCCTTTTCATATTTCAAACGCTATTTTATGTCGAACAAAAATGAAATCTTTATTACCCTAAACAGAATGGTGGCAGCCGGGACATCATTACTTTGATGTTCTAAACCAATATTTCCAACTACGAAACGAACTTTTTGAGTTCGGTAATTTTTATGAAAATTCCTGTCGGTGCGTTACCGAAATGTCTGTGCGTTACTTCATGTTTTGTCAATAGCTCGCTCATTTTTCAAATTAATTATATTTTCTCTTCACCAAAAGATACTTCTGACTTTGAGCTACAAAATGCTCTGTCACAATATTCATTAACATAGCGTAGTTCGCAGCATTTATCACTTCTCTCGCGTCTACTGAGAACGAAGGACCTTTTTTGTCTGTGTTACCGACCAGTATTTCACCTATAAAATCTAAACAGCTCAACGATTGAGGCTCAAACTTTCAGGTATTATAGAAGCTGTCGACTTACATAAGTGTTGAAATTTACAAGCTTTTTCCTTTTACCATTATCTAGATACAATCGTTCAAAGTTGAAAAAACGTCCGTACGTTACCTGCGTTTCGGCTGATCTATGATTTTCTTCGATCGTATGGTTTTCTCTCTTGTTCATGTCTTGCTATATAAAGATGCGAAATCTTTGTAAACAGGGAGATAGAGAGAGATAAAGAAATAAACGATAAGTGATAATAAAAATCTCATCACATCCAAACACAAGCAAGTAAACCTCATTTATAGTATTAAGCAATGACTCAAATTCGACTTCAAGGTGGAGCAATAGGGATTCATTATGTTTTTGTGAAACATGACCAGAAAGGAGTATTGAACTGTTAAGGGTAGAAATTTGAACCCCCTCCCCCCACAGACCGTGACCGACAGGTGATTCCACCGTCATCTACCATTGCAGACAGATGAAGACGAGTTAAAGTGTTATGAATAGGGATTTGAATTTCTTTTGAAGACATTTTAATTAATTAATTAACTAACTACAGTCTAATTAATTAATTACCCTTCCCAGACCCTGAGAGACAGGGTTTGGATCCATCACAAACGGTATTAGAAATGCAGGGGGGATATAAAGGTGGAGCTATGACTATGATACAGCACGATAAACACCTCTGGACGTCGTTGTAGACTGTCATGAATCGTATCGGTGTACAAGCAAGGACCGGATAGGGCTACAATCTCGATAAAACCTTTGAGCTGTTTCTGTTTTGCATTTGTAGCTGATGCATTAAAGTATAATGAAAGAAAGAATCCAGAAATCGATAGAGCAATACTTTATCTGATAAGAACGAACAGTTTTGTCGTGTTTCACATTTTAATTCCGCAGGGGTTGCGCTAACAGCTTTTTATCTAGCGCTTGTTTTGTATATGTCACAGCTGACATGAGAATTTTAGTTGAGATTAGAATGCGCGAAAAAAATAAAAAGAATAGAAAGTTCTTTTTCCTTTTTGAAAAAAAACATTAAAACAATTGAAACATTTTCACTTTTGTGGTTATAAAAGAAGTGTTACATTGAAGGTTTCACGTTTTAAGAAGTGAAATTTTTGAAAATTCAGTAGCGGATTTATGGTTTTAATATTTTGAAAACGAGTATGAAGCTACAAAGGACAATAATGCACTCATTCTCTTTTTAATGAATCATTACTATTCTTTTTCAATGACAAGAGGAAAAAATCCTCTATCCATTGATGAAAAATAAATTATAATAGATCCATTAGATATTTTAGAAAAAATAGCTTGAGGTAAAGAAGATTAAAATAAAATTCATTTCTGGATGATTTATTACTATATGTTGCTAGTCATTTGAATAGTATATAAAGAAAACAAATTTCAAATTTTTTTCAATACGCTAATACAAATGGGACGGATCACATTTGTACTCATTTTCAATGTAATAGTTCATCTTTCAATGTTATTGGAATTTTTAGGAGAGACTTTAAGAGTCCATAGAGAATGTTCATTTGGTTGATATTTTTTCACCTACAGTTTTTTTCATCAATCGATTCTTTACCAAAAATTAGAATTACGAAAACCTTTTTAGGCTTCTACAACTCTGTTCGACTGGGTTGTAGTCGTCACATTAGGAGGGGAACCCAAAACCGCTGAAAAATAGTAATTGTTTTGTCATTATTTCAGTCAGATTTTGTCTCTACAGATCGAGCGATATCTCATTCGAAAGAGCTCCTAAAACTGCACAAGAAGATATGTCTTGCTACGTTCCGAAATAAGTCTTGCCCTTAAAAAGTTCTTTTTCTTTGAAAAATTCAAATTCTTTTTGGTAAATTGTTTTTCAGTGTAACCATCTTTTAGTATGATAAAAGGCTGGCAGAAATTTTCAATTTGGGATACTTGGTATAGCATTTTCTCCTTTTCAAAACTGCAATAGAAAGCCTTAAATTGAAGAGTCAGAAAAGGTGGGCAAAAGCTGTACAATATTACTCAATGACATAAATTTCTCGTTTTTTACATGTTTTGTCGTAGATTTCTTTTAGAAAAGTGGATATTTTGTCAAAACTAATGTCATATTTCCAATCAACATGAATGGTTGAGTTGATCTATACACATCTCAGGTGCTTTAGAAAATTGTTTTTTCATCCAAAATTCACCCCTTACTACTTAAGGCTGAATCAGAAAAAATGAATCTACACAAAAACACTGTTTTGTGACTCATAAACCTGCCAATTTCTGCTCAAAATTATCAGTTTGCCACATTAGAGTTCGTTTTCACCCATAGAATAAAGTTTTGTGGAAGTTCATTGTTGCTCATTCTTGGGGGACCATGGAGCAACGTAGAAATGAACCTTTTCAAAATTCTGCTTTTATGGGTTAGGTATCTAAAACTTTCCCTTATAATTTCGTTTTAGATCCTTGCAAAGGGTTTATCTCTGTCGAAACAAGATTTTGGTGCAGTTTATTTGCTGATAAAACCCTGAGCGGGAGGAGAAATGACTTTTGGGATGAAAACAGTTTTTATAAAGCACCTAAGATGTGTATAGATCAACTCAACCATTCATCTTGATTGGAAATATGACATTAGTTTTGACAAAATATCCACTTTTTTAAAAGAAATCTACGACAAAACATGCAAAAAGCGAGAAATTTATGTCATTGAGTANAGGAGAAAATGCTATACCAAGTATCCCAAATTGAAAATTTCTGCCAGCCTTTTATCATACTAAAAGATGGTTACACTGAAAAACAATTTACCAAAAAGAATTTGAATTTTTCAAAGAAAAAGAACTTTTTAAGGGCACGACTTATTTCAGAATGTAACAAGAGATGTCTTCTTGTGTAGTTTTAGGAACTCTTTAAAATGAGATGTCTCTCCAACTGAATGGACAAATATTGACTGAAACAAAGAAAAAACAAAAAAAAAGAATCATCGTTAGCGTTTTTCAAACCCCTCTCCCCTGCTCCAATAGTTTAAGGTACTAATGCGGCCATTATTACAAAAGAGAAATAATACTTTGAAATATTTCTGCAACGAATTAATGTCCCAAATGTCCCGATAGATTAAAAATATAAAGTGAAAAAATAAAGAATTGTGTAGAAAAATTAACCAATTATTTAATGTCCCAATGTCCCCGTCATAATAAAAAAAGACAGAAAATACTTTCAGATAATTTCGCAATAATTTAATATCCCGAATGTCCCGACATGTTAAAAATTTCAAGAAAAAAATATTTTTGAGAAAAAGATAAAAGATTTTATACAAAAAAATTGTCCAATAATTTTATGTCCCAATGTCCCTATTATAATAAAAGAAACCAGAGAGAGCGATAATACTTTAAAATATTTCTGCAACGAATTAATATCACGAATGTCCCGATACATTAAAAATTTAAAGAGAACAGTATTTTTCAGAAAAGATAAAGAATTGTGTAGAAAAATTCACCAATTATTTAAAGTCCCAATCCCATGTACCCGATTTTCCGAAATAATGTACATTATAATGCATTAATTTGTCATAGAAAGTCAATGAATGCAATGGCATTACAATGCATTGATTTTGTGATGCATTGAAATGCATTAAGATTTTAATACATTATAATGCATTATTTGGGTTGCATTATAATGCCATCGCATTCATTGCTCATTTAATGCATTATAATACATTGAAAACTCCACACATCTTAACGCACGAAAATATTAGTTTAACTTCCCGCATCTCCAATGCATTTAATTGATTTTCCTTTCACTACAATGAAAACAAAAAAGGGACCAGACGGAACTTTAAAAGGTTGAGAGATTTACAACGAAATCGAAACATTTCTTGAGTTCCGTAAAAATATGGTTCTGTACCCAACCTTCTTTTATTTACACTCACAGTGGTATCGTAATTAAAATTTTGTCACCATCCCAATGCAATCAATATCTATCTTATTTACATATCGGTTTAATACATATCTAACCCAAACTTATCCCCTTAACCTTAATCCATCCCCTAACTTAACCCCTTAACCTGAATCTATCCCCTAACTTAATCCCCTTAACCTTAATCTATTCCTAACTTAACCCCCTATNCCCTTAACCGTAATCTAGTCCTAACTTAACCCCCTTAACCTTAATCTAATACCCTAACTGTTACGGGCTGATGCCCTCACATACTATCATTCTCTTTTCATGTATTCTTCTATCTAGTCACCCACCACATCTATCGTCATATATATAAATGTATAAATATATATGTTGTTTTCTCAACGGAGGAGAGAGATATATATATATGTGTGAATACAACATGTTGTTTTGTTTTGTAGTTAGTTTTTCGATTTACAATAAACAAGAAGGGAGAACAACGAATCCCCTAATATTTGGTGCCGTGACCGAGTATTTTTATTATTTTCACAATAATAAAAATCTTACCAGAGGACATTCCTAATTAGGAGTGACCTGAAAAAATAAAAATTTGAAAATTAATTAGAGGAAATTCAATTTGAGTTACCTGCCACAGAAAAAAAAGAAGATAACTTATTAAATTATCAGCAACATGGAAGATTCAGCAATAATGATATGTTATCGTGAATGTTTATTAAATCTAGAGAAATTCAATGGTGGCGAAGAATATAAAATTTTACAGTTTATCAACAATATCGAAAGAATTGGGAAAATGATCGATGCAAATGATAATCTTTTATATTGTATGTGTATGGCAAAATTAGATGGTGAAGCAAAACGTTGGTACGAAGATAACTTATCATTAATTCAATGGAGACAATTAAAATCGGCATTATTAGAAAGATTTACAACGTCTGATTCATCATCAAAAATATTCGAACAATTGAAAGAACGTAAACAGAAACCAGATGAAACAGTTACATCTTATTATGATGCTATTATTAAACTTTGTCATACATATGATACATCTATGTCACAAAGAATGATGATATCATGGTTAGAAAATGGCATTAAAAATTCATTAAAAATTCAAATTAAACGACAAATGAAGTCATTATCTGAATCAGCTAGAACAACACAAGCATTTTTAAAAATTGCGAAAGATGAAGACGAACTACAAAATGAAAATGTTCTAGAACCTCAAACAACAGCACCGTATGTGCCATATTTTGCAAATACAGTATCAACAACTATTTATGCATCATCAACGTTACGAACTCCTATTTATATAAATGTTCAAGTAAATAATAAACAACACCAAGCCATTGTCGATACTGGATCTGCAGTCACCATTATTAATCAACAATTCTTAAAAAAATTTATCACACGGACTTCGTTTACAAGAAGAAATTACACAAATCAGCTAACTGTACGTCTATTAATATTATTGGTGAAATTCAACTTGAAGTTAAAATACAAGGACATAAAACTTTCATTATAGCGGATGTTGCAACGAATCTTATTACTGATCTACTACTTGGAAACGACTGGATTATACAAAACAATGTTATTATTGATTCATTACAACAGCATATTACTCTGATTGATAAGAACCGCCGCGAATTAGCAACAGCTCCATTCGTTCAACCTTCAAATCTTCAATTTAGCGCAACTAATCGTCAACGAACACTATCAAACAATACTCAGCTGGGACGTATGTCATATCAGGCTGAATTAAATAATCATATTATTTTACCGGTGTTATCAGAAGATGCAAATTATCAGCCAACACATTTTAAATCATTTAATTATAAGAGAAACAACACTCAGAAGAGTGGTTTCTGTGATTCATTACTCCGTGAAAAGAGGAAGGTTCAATTTACGGACTTTACCTGTGGAAAAGAACATCATGAAGAACAACAACATCAATGCCATGTTTGTCAAGAACAATTTTTATCACGCAATAATTTACAACAGCATTTGCTTCAGAAATGTTATCCATCAGCAGCATCATTAGAAAATAATACTATAAATATTTTAGACGAAGAAACATTGAATTATAATGATAGAGAAGGGGGTCATGTACGAGATGAACCTTCAAATGAAATTGAAAACATGTCCGATAATGGCATTCAACAAAATACAATGAACGATCAAAACCAACAATATATACATCATGAACCATTAACAAGAAGTCAACGACAAAGCCACAAACATCGAGCTAAAAGATATCGATATGAAATCATTCGGAAAATTTATCATAAATTTACCATTACAGATATTAAAAAAATCTTAATATTTATGGATATTCCTTATGCGAACATCAATGTTGTCGGAAGCACGTTATTCTTGGGTGTGAAGAACGAGCAAATAAAAAACATCATTGACAAAATATTACACAGTGGCATATTTACAAAAAAACACTATTATTATAGGCGCAAGAAATTACGTCCAGATAAATAAAGAAATTATTCTTTTTTAAATATAGGTCAAACTTTACTTTAATCTTCGTTTTTTTTTCTTCTCTTTCGTTTTTTTGTTTCTTGATAAACAGTCAGATTTATTAGTTAAAAAAACTATTTTTTCTCCTTTGCTTGTTCATCGTTGTTGTGTCTTTTTTAATGGAAGATGTGTAGCTTATCGTCGTATTTTTGTTAACATGTTTGTTTGTTTTTCTGAACCATGTGTACGGACACACATTTTCTCTAAGGGTGGTCGACTGTTACGGGCTGATGCCCTCACATACTATCATTCTCTTTTCATGTATTCTTCTATCTAGTCACCCACCACATCTATCGTCATATATATAAATGTATAAATATATATGTTGTTTTCTCAACGGAGGAGATATATATATATATATGTGTGAATACAACATGTTGTTTTGTTTTGTAGTTAGTTTTTCGATTTACAATAAACAAGAAGGGAGAACAAAGAATCCCCTAATACTAACTTAACTCCCTTAATCTATTAGCTTATCTTTAGGTATCGTCTAACTTACTATTTCGATCATAACGATATCAACCTAAAACAAAAGACAATGAATGAATAAGTTTTTTATTATTAAATTATAACTTACCATTTCGATCATATCGATAGGATCAAAATACAGAAAAAGGAAATCAAAATGGTTTTAGTATTGAATTCTAACTTACCGTTTGGTCATGTCGATGTGTATTTGTAATCGAGAATGGTTCAAGAACGAATAGATGGCACAAGTGTGTTTCAATAGCATTAAAATGATTTCAGATTTGGAAAAGAAAATGATTCATAACGGGTGGCCCAGGTTTGCTGACTCGATTTGTATAAATAATTTTTTTATATTAAAACACGTACTTAAAAATTTATCTCTATGATAGAAAGATGCAGTAAAAGACGCCCTACAAAACAGCCTATGACTGATTCTACCTAACTCATATAATAAGAACGTTATAAGCTTAGAAATATTCGTCGCAAAAAATAAAAATTAACCATGAACATTTTAGGACCATAAAAACTTTATTTCATCTAAAAATGTTATTGCAATTATGCAATGTTTCTTCACCATGAGTGTTACAATCAAAATCATTTTAAATTAATGTTCATAAACTTGATTCCCATTCAATTGTACCACATTTGCAAGACGTTTAGGTATGTTATCTATCATTGCTTCACATTGTTCAAGTGTAATTTTCCGCCATTCCGAATTAACAAAACCAATTAATGAGTCAAGATTTTCAAGTGTTTTTCCTCTTGTTTTCTCCCTCATAATTCCCCAAATATTTTCAATAGGCCATACATCTGCAAATTTGGCGTCTCCATCATTTGGTTCAATTCTTTCTTCAAAAAGATCATAAACAACATCCATAGCTACTTGTGTTCTGTGTTTTGAATCTTGATCATCTTGAAAAATAGCTTCATCCAAATCTTCTACTACTTCATTAATTGCTGGAATGGCTTTTTCACATAAATATATGGCATAAAGTTCACCGGTCATGTACACTCTTTTACGTTTATCATTTTGACATTGATCTCGTAACCATTGAGTAACATTAATAGGACCATCATGAGGTATCAAACCTTTCGTACAAATTCCACCCCAAAACATTACACCACTTGGATATTTTGTCATCGGTGCTTCTCTTAAATTAGCAGGAATTTCAGATGATTCTTCAGCATAAATCACATCATTTTTATTATTGTGAAAACCTTCAATTGTAAATATTCCTGAAAAATCAGTATTAACAAGTTTAGTCCATTGCCATTTTGAATTAGTTTTTCTTGCACCATATTTTCTAATTAATCTTTTCGCACATGCAACACGTCGTTCTTTGTTTACTGTTGTTAATTTTTGAGCTTTTCTAAGTTTAAACGGTTTCAAATTTAATTCCTTGATTATTCTTTGCACCGATGTTCTTTTACCTTGAATGTTGTTACGTTGTAAATCAAGCACCACTTTTCTTTGACTTTGTCCCACTTTTAAATGTAGCAAGCGTTTTACTGCTTTCTTCAATTGTTCTGTTCGAACAGTTCGTGGGGGACTACGTTTTAATTTATCTCTTATTGTTCCCCTTTGTAATATTCGATTTATTTTTCTTCTTAATGCATCACGAGATAATGGAGGTGGATTTTCATAAGATTGTATTTCATCAGCTATGTTGGATGTCATCCATGTGGGATTCATTTCCTTCAAAGAAAGAACAAGCCCACGAAACTGCTCCTCCAAAGTAAACATGTTTGACATCTTGTGCTGTTACGTAAAAGAATCTCCAAGTTATTTTATACTTTATTTGGGCTGAAACGAGTCTATTTATAGGCTGGAGTGGCAGACGAATACATAAATACAGAATAGATAAATCTTTTGAAAACAAAGGGAGAGTGATTACGAATACCTGGAAAAGATAGAACGAACACAAAGAGACATATAATACACAAAGTGAATACACAGAGATCGAAAGATATTGCGCATACCTAGACAAAAATATACTAAGATCCAGGGAATGATCCCGAATACAGTAACAGCATGATCTAACCAAAGATAGAACATCACAAATCTAAAACTGATTATATGGTGACTTTAAAATTATTATGGAAGTGAGCTAAATATTTATGGTTAATTTTTATTTTTTGCGACGAATATTTCTAAGCCTATAACGTTCTTATTATAGGAGTTAGGCAGGATCAGTCATAGGCTGTTTTGTAGAGCGTCTTTTACTGCATCTTTCTATCATAGAGATAAATTTTTAAGTACGTGTTTTAATATAAAAAAATTAATTATACAAATCGAGTCAACAAACCTGGGTCACCCTTTATAGGGAATGATTTTTGATCGAATAGATTATAATTGATATTGTGAGCAGTTTTAAATCACTAAATACATCTAAAATTGAAAAATGAAGAAAATAGAAAACGAAAATTGGAGTAGTGAAAAATTCTTTTGAGAGGTTTGAGGACTGTTATCTCTTTCATTCTGCAGAAAATTCTAAAATCATTCAAAACTCGAGAAGCCGTTCATTCTATGAAATAAAAATCCAAGATCGGATTCGGGTTCGTTATTTTACGTTTTCGAGACTGAGCATACTCGGAAACTCTTTGGTTTGCCTGGGCAATATTTTGGAAGCTGAAAAGGTATTCCCGCATACCTCATAAGAGTTCGATTTAATTTTTTGACAATATAAGTTTCCTAGAATATCCAGGTGGTTTCTGAAAACACGACTAGGTTTCCAATATCAAGAAAAAAGAATTTTAAAATACTTGAAGATTGTTGAAATCGGTATTTTAGAGTATCTAAGCATTTTCTAACCCTCGACAACCAATTACATATATATGTACAGCAGTATTGCTAACTTCCAAAAACCATCTCGCAGACCTCTAAAGGTTCCCAAATGGGTTTCAGAGCGTGTTTGGGCTTTCTAAGAAACAGATTTCGCTTATATAGCAGTTAAATTACGCCCTTAATGTAAATCTAACCATCTAACGGATTCCATCAGCCTTAATATGACACCTTAACTAATCCCCTTATGGATATCTATCTTGCTGTCTTACCATCTGAATCCTAATCCAGTCTCTAAAATGCCCCCATATCTTTGATTAATTCCTTCACTTAAGTGAATGTACTTAGGCTCCTCAACAGAGAACGTATGGAATTAGTTTTTATTCGGTTTTGAAATTGCAATGCAGTATTTTCTTTGAAAATCTTAAGTACTTCCACCATTTCGATTTGTTTTGAATACTACATATTGGAAATATTTTACTCAATGCAGCATGTGATTAGCAGTCGAGCAGTTAGTGATTGATTTCCAATCCTTTTCACCAGAAACGAATTTCGGCAAAGTATCTCCACTTTAATGCTCATATTTTGAAATGAAGTTTGAAGAGTATTTTACGAAACCTTGTCGATTTTCAATGCCCGAAAAGGTTTATCACGAAACGTTTTTGAATACTAAACCTTGAACAGGTTTTTTACAAAACTCTACATTATACTAAACTCTTTCCAGGTTTCGTTTGTGCGAACGAAACCTTTTGAAGTATAGTAAAATACCAAGAAACATTTAAATTCCGTATGGAACCTTTTTTATTTTTAGTGTAAACATTTATTAACATGTTCTGTGACGATCTTCCTATAGAATGGGTATCCTCTTCATCCATTTCCTTACCATATTCCATGTGTTGCAAGGATTCGGCAACGCTCTATAACCCGCATACCCATTGGCAAATACCTTTTTTCTGGATGATACATCAACATTTCAAATGCTCTGTCCAAAAACCACCCACCCGTTATTCTATTTCCGAAGAATAGACGCACTTATAATTATATTACACCTTAAATCAAAAAACAGCGTAAACATCTCGACTAAAAACAAGATTTACGTAAACATATTCCTTTCCATTGAAAGGAAAGATTAATGGAAATATTTAGAGCCGAAACCAAATGGATTTCATGATAAGAGTGTGTGATGAAGTTTTATGAAGAAACTACTGAAATTTATTGTTTAGAAATGGTGCAATCAGATTATACATGATTAAAGATGTTGTGAAAAAATATTTCTTTTACTTGTTTTCAATGAAGTTGGAGAAAAGACTGGCTTGATAGCTTTGAAAATCATGCTATGTCAAAAGATTTTTTCTAGTAATGCATTATAATGCATTGAATATTAATGCATTATAGTTCATTATAGCATTATTTCGAAATAATGCATTCCAATGCATTGAGAATACGAAAAATAATAAATTATAATTAATTATTTGATATTTTTGCAAAATAATGGAAAATAATGAATCATTTTTCCATTATTTTCCCATTATTGGCTACATGAGAATGTCCCTATTATAATAAAACGACGAGAGAGACACAACACTGTAAAATATTTCTTTAATAGTTTAATGTTTCAATGTACCGATAACTTCAAAACATTAAAAAAAAAATTTTCAACAAAAAATTTTCAAAAACTGCGAAATAAAATTAAGTTGCAAGGGGAAACAACTGACTCCAGTCCGTTGGAGTCAAGTGGAGTCAAGTGGAGTCAAGCGGAGTCAAGTGGAGTCACGGAGTCGCGGAGACACGGAGTGCGCTGTTTTTCCCTTTTAATTAGGTGATTACTCACCTCACTATCACTAATTAAGGTGAGTACTCACCTATTTATCACTAATTAAGGTGAGTACTCACCTATTTATCACTAATTAATTGAGTACTCCCCTTAATTATTGATAATAACTTGAGTACTTATCCTAATTAGTGATAATTAGGGGAGTACTCAACTTATGATACATGGAGAAGGAAATATGCAATAATCTATTTTGGAGGACTCCATGACTCCAGAAGTATTTGGAGTCAAGTGGAGTCAAGTGGAGTCAAGTGGAGTCAAGCCGAGTCAAGTGGAGTCATGGAGTCAGCTGTTTCCCCCTTGTTAAGTTGTCATCATACTTAAAATAAAACAAGATAAGAATTTTATAAATGTTTATAAAAGCAAAATTTACGATCGTATTTTATATTTAATTTACTCTTAAGGAAAATGTTTTTATTTCTAATATAAAACAATTATTACAATCTCAACTGAATTCTAAACTCGCCTGCCACATATATGCATGTATCTTTGTTAGGAGAGCTGAGTGGTGAATCGTGTCTTTTATTCCAGAGGATATGAGAACTATAAAAACATAGCTATTTACGTTTGAAAAAGGTTTTATCAGGTAATGGCGTCAGTAGTGGGAGAGGGGAGGGGTTTGGTCGACAGATGACGATCGATGACATGAGGGGTGGGAGAGAAAAAAATAGGCTAAACAAGTGATCACGTTA